AAAAATGAAAAATGATCTGGGAGTGACGCTGGTACTAACACCATTTCTGTAATTTTCGGCATGTTTTACTCAGGTATGGAACCCGTTGCCGTCAAGAGCGCATACGTTAGCTCGCACTCGTAACCACTCGACTAACTTTAGACTGAAGCAGGGGCCAGGTTCGAGTTGGTATGTTATGTTTTTTTTTCGCAAATGAGACAAAAAAGGCGATGAGGAACGTTATTGGGAGGGGGAGGGGGGAAGCAAAAAGCGTCCTAGAAAACAGTGGATCTCTTTTGTGAGGATGATCGTGGTATGATGAAGAGATATAGCGCTGCGAGGAGAGGGAAAACGCGAGAGAGCACGTCGTACGCGAGAGGGCGCAGACGCCACGTATGCTCCGTTGGATAGGATGGCAGCGCGGCAGCGGGCAAAGCCAGGCCTTATTGTTAGCGCCATTGTCGCGCACTTTTGTGTCGCAGCAGTGTCGCACCTCCTGTGCTTGGACGCAGCTCTGTCACACTCCAGGAGGGACTAGCTCTCAACAGCTAATCCCGAACCGTGGTGTTAAAATCAAATACCCTGAAGTTCCGATTATTTCGCATGAAACTCTTACCTGATCTATTGTCGACATTATACTGTACACCATCTGCTTCTACTCGTATATCCTCGAAAGACATAACACCGTTATGGATCTCGACATCCTTCATATAGAGCGTGAGCTTATTAGCTCGTAGAGTAGTATTATTCATAATACTAAGTAAATTAATTTTTCTGCAGTCAAATAATGCTGTAATTGAGTACAGTAGCAGTAGGATGGAGTTCAAATCCATTAGACAATGCAGATCTGTTAGTTCTTGACTAATCTATCAAAACATGATGACTTCAGAGGCGGAGTCGAGTAGAAGTTCAGTTTAGTGAATGATGAGAGGTATTTGTGAGTCTGACTCACACTACACGCAATCTCGACCGATTATGGCATGCATGAACTATACCGCAGTACCGAAAAGAGGGGCGGAGGGTGCAGTGCAGATGATCCCATATGCGGCTATTACTAGCACCGCTGTACCGGTTTTTCTTCGAATCCACCCTCATAAAAACGCTCGAGCATTACCGTGTTGTCAACGGCAAACCAGTGGAAAGGTAATCCCGAGCGAACTAGCGGTGATCCGCTGGGAAATATGTGGAGAGCGGCCAAAGGATGACGTCACTGCAATAGTTTTCAAACTGTTGCTTCCACTCAGCTAAATTGCTAACTTGAGGTTCAAATGTGAGATATGAGTGTCGATTGACTCGCCAGAGGAAACAAAAATTGAAAAGTAGAAGGTGAGAACGACTTTGACAAAAATTCTTTCTTGAAGTAGTGATAGAGCTCTGGAGCAGGGTCAACCGTGCTTCTTGGCGAGGGGAGATGCGGATTTGAGCCTTTCTGGAAGGAGGGTCGTATTTTTGGAAGTCAAATGAGTCCTGGTGGCTGGTCGTGTTCGACGGGTTCTACGACGGTTTCAACAGAAACTTCACGAAACAATAAGTAGCAAAAACTAGAGGATTTTCTGATCTATAAAAATGGTTAATTCCCCCCCTCCCGCTTCAGCCTTTCAAAATCAATTACGGGCGAGAAGTGGCCGCCGTATCGGGCTCGTCCGCAAACTCCATAGTGGCTACGTCGTATCGAGATACCGCAGAAGGAGGAGGGTCGTAAAATTTCGGAGTTGGAACAATGTACAGTTGGACGTGCCTAGGAATCAGAAAGTCTTAGAGACATGTGGTATCGAGGAGAGAAAAGAACAGGCGGAGACGAGAGAGCCTGGGGAATAGCGAGACAGCAGGCATCACTGTGGCCATCCTCCGTGGTTGCTTAAGATACCCACTGTTGCAGCAGCTGCTTAGCTACTTTCCCCAAGTATTTTAATTTCAAAATGTTCTACCTCATGGATCGGAACTCATCAAATTCCTAAAGATCGACGGCAAAGATATGATGAAATACCGGTTGCTTTCATGTCATGTCGCAACTAGTAGTGATTGTCAGATAAGATTGCCAGATTTGAGAAAACCGTTGAACATAATAAAATTGAAGGAGGGATTGAACAAAGAAGTGGTCTGAATGAGTAAAGAAGGAAACGAAAATTGACCAAAGCGTAAGAAAAAGTCACTCGGGGGCGTAAAAAAATGTCACTCGGGAATTGACATTCTCTTTTCGAAATGCGTCACTAATTCGAATTCAGCACAGAAAAGTACTAGCATTTTACGCTAGCGGCTAGTCACCACAACAAGTTACGGTACACTTGACGCATAATTCGAAGTTTTTCTAGTCTCCATGTTATCCCTTACTGAAAGCTCGCAATTATTGCCGATATGTATTGCTCTTATATGCCAGTCTGTCTTGATAGTTACAAACTATTATTTGTTGGCTCGTCGCTTCAATCGTTCTTCTCATTCATTTCAGTCTGAGAACCTTGAAGTCACCTGACCAAACATATCATCCATCCGCGTTCCGACGTCGTGCCAAAAATCTTCGGAATACTCACAAATCAGTGCGATGGAATTCGAAACCTTCTCAGGCCCCTAAAGAACATGAAAAAAAAGAACAAAAGTCAGCCTAATAACTGAAAGGTACCAACCCAAAAGAAGACATAATGCATACCTTCGGCCTCACCTCCATTGGCATAGAAGAATGGAACAGTTCAGAAATTCACCTTTTAGCGAGCCTTTTACCCACTATCCGACCTTAGAGAGGCGTCGTTGGATGGCATTTGATCAGGAATTGATCTCAAGACCATCTGCCTGGATAGTGGCGTCACTTTCCACTGCACCACTCACTCTTCAGATGGCATGCATATGCAATTCTGTCCTGTCGCGTGCTCCCGCTAGCAGTAACGAACTGCTCGACAACAGTAAACGTCACTGCTAATTCAAGTCAACAAATCAAACACCTGCAGTGCACAGTTGCATAATGCTCGACCCTTGAAAGTATGTGCGATCATGACGACCAGGGGAAAATTCATTGATTAAAATGACCCCTCTTCTGCCCGCAGCCCCCTTTGGCCTGAGCCTGGAGAGAGGGAGGGCCACAAGAACTGGTGAGCCACTCACCTTTCTTGTAGCCCTTTCTCTCTTCAGGCTTAGGCCTCCCCCTAATGGTAAACTGTGAAGTGTGTTGAGATCTATGTAGGTTCCGGTGGTGTTGATCGGGTAGTTCTGAAGTGCCGTTCGTCTTCCCAGGCTCTGAAAAACATAATCTCGTCTATAGGCTGGTCTACACTTCCTTACTGTCCTTTCCTTGTTCATTTCAGATGTTGAAGAGCTTGGCTTCCTTAATTTATCTATCTATTTAGTTATAAAACCATGCCTTCAGTGACGTGCCGTATCGAAAATATAGGGGTGCGAGGAAAGTGGAAAAGCTCAGCTCAAAAGAAAAAGAAAAAATTAGAATGAACGGAAAATTACTACAACAACCTGCCATAAAACCAGTAGTTACTTACAATTACTGAAGTTTTTAACCTCCTTATGCACGTTTCCATCAGCCAGTATTTTCAAAATGGATCAGCCCCATCTATTTGCCGATGTCACTATGGCTCATTTCAACAGTTGGCGCCGGTCGGTCTCCTGTTGTCAGACCGTACACGTGGTCTGCGGGCTTGCCGTTGTCCCTACGAGGTTGAACCTCATTTTCGCCCGCTATCACTTGTTCGTCGTGAACAGGCGCGTATGTCGCGGTTGACAAATGTACTTCTCTTTGATGTGTGAGCGCCACCGCTATGTAATTGCTGGCTCTCATTTGTCCATCATCACTTACAACGACGTCCACAATGTAATGCAGATTGAGTGATTTCATTCAATTGCGTGCAGAAGCAAAAAAAAGCCGAACTGCGAAAAGCGTAAGCCTTTGGGACGCTATAATCCGCTAATCCACCTTTCACACCACCTTGGGCGTCCAACTTCCTTATTCCCTGGAAAATAGAACACCAGTCGCACAATTCTAGGCTAGGTTGTTGAGCTGATCGAATTCCTTTTCTATTTTAGGTGAGTCTGAAAAAAAAACATTTAATCCAGACAACACCTGTAATTTTTGCAAAATTCTAAACTAATTCGTTTCAGTGGGACTAGATATGGAAAGGTTCCATGAGCAGTAGGGCAGGGGGGGGGAGGTGGGACAAGTAGAAGGATTGGCCAATTCAAGCCGATCGTTGGTTTATTCGAAACGTATTATTTTTTTGAGCCTAAAATGATCCTTATCTCACTATTTAGGTTGATGCATAATTATTGCGGCTTTTTTCGCGCGTTCTTTTCTCGAGAAGATTGGCGTTTGAGTTTCTGTTTTTTTTTCATGAGAATATTCTTCTTTCTTCCATTAACAGAAATGCTTATCGGAAATTGTCCTCATCTTCACCACACATGCTTACTACTTCTATAAATGTTAGAAGGCGGCGGGGCCATTCCGCGATCTCATCAAACTTCTCAGCGAGGGAGCAATTAGCAAAACCCAAGACGAAGGATCGTTCAAGAAGTTTAAAACGCCACATCTACCGAGCGGAGCTCCTACACGACTAGCAATTCAATCAGACGTTGAAAAACTGGCAAACGAACAAATTTTAGGATGAGCTGGATGCGTTGGTGGCCAGTGTTAGAGCGTGGATCGTCTCCGAGAATCGTGACTTTTTTATCCGTGGAATCACCGAGAGAAAAGCAAATTGGAAGCATTCATGAGGGAGGGTGGCCGCGCTCTGGGGTTATTATTTAAACATGTTTTTGTTGAATAATTTTGTCGTTTTCGCTGAATAAAATCTGTTGGAAAAAGCCGCAATAATTATGCATCAACCCAATATTTGCATTTGTTCTTTTATTTATTTTTTCTTTGCATTGGTAAAGCTGCCACTAGGCAGTTCCCTGTACATGTGATCAATGGAAGCAGGCTAGTGAAAAAGCGTATCCACCACCTGGAGGGACAAATTCTAAAGAACAAGACGAAGAAGTAAGGTAGAGGAAGGTGGTGCTGCTACCTACCACTCAATTAGTTTGAGCTTCTGATGCCGTCCAGGCCACCCAAGCTTCGTATCACTTCTAGTCCATGTAAGTGCTGATGGGTTATGCTGAAGGAATAAATCCGTTGGCTTAATAAAGCTTCCACAAGTTATCACAGTGTCGAATACACAATCAAATGTTGCTACAATACTGAAGGAAAGGGAAATTGCGTTGCACAATCCAATATTCAGGTGCGCTGCCGGCTGCTCTTTTGCTTTCATTTCTCAGAACTAAAAGGAGCACCTTGGGGCGCTAGAAATTTCAAGACGAGTCCGTTCATTCCTGGCAAAAAATGAGGCTTCTAACCTTCTCACCAGAAACTTTCTCAGAGTCTTTTTGAATAAAGGTGGAAAGGGTAGGGAGAGCCTCGGTGAGTGGACGGTAGAGAGTTAGAGAAGTGCTGCTAGTTGCATACGCTATACTGCAGTGCCTATTCGTGGATTCTTATATCGAACTAGGAAATTTGCAGAGTTTTTTTGGTGGAAATTTCTAAAAAATACTGTGCAGAAAAACATCTACTGTGTGCATCATTTACATGTGATTAATGCATAGCAATCAAACAATAAATCAATATGAATAAAGCTTCGATATTAAATTTGTGCTCAATGAATGAATGGAGGTGACCTAATAAAATTTTTCTTCCACGTTTTCAAAGTATGTGCAGTACATGGAGGAATAAGAATCAGTGTTAAAATCTAGGCTGGCAGTAATTTACATGTAAAAACTTTAAATGTCAGCAACATCTCTTGCTATGAAGCTTTGTGGCCCCAAGCCATCGAGACATCCTTTGCTATTTCTTTAGTGAAGCCGTGTATCGGCCATCTCTTCCATGATTCCAAATGGCATTCATCGCTCGGGGCCTATTAAAAGGCCTTATTTTGTAATCAGGACACAGCTATTTGGGTCCCTACCTTGAGAGTCACCTCTTCAACTTACCCCCAACCCTTCTAGGTCATTACCATGTGGTTGAGGAATTTGGTGGGAATTCCCAGTGTAAGGCCCACTAGACACGGTGCCGCCGGCATCGTTCCGTAGCGCTGACAAATGGAGACGAATGGCGGACGACACCCCTCGGGTCGACCGAATACAAACACTCTCATCACAACAACTGTTGACGTCCATAAAATCGGCAAGAAAAGCAGCGCCGTAACCATTGTGGTTAATGTGCCAATGGGATGCTTCACTTCAGTAGCTGCTACGGTAGCGAATGAGTGTCGTCTTTACGGATATGTGAAACGACAAGATGTGAAGTGGCAGTGTGAAATGCATTATTACAACGATCACCCGAATGTTTTTCCATGATGAAGCATGTCATAAGCCGACCACATTGCTCATGTTAAGAAGGCTCAAATGGTCAGATCTAGCCGGTAGTCGGTTCCCACATTTCGAGCCGTCGTCCAGTGTTATAGTGAGCATATGCGGATGAGATCAAAACGAGTCCAGATGTTCGACATCGCTTAGAATATCGGGCTTTTGCCAAAGTATGTGAACTTCGCACAAACTTCAGGCCAGTAAGAAGAGGTTCACGAGAAAAGCCAGGCCGTTTCACTTAGAACCTACTTCTCAGAGGCTAAATTCACTCACGATCAGACCTTGATTGATAAGAAGAAAAGCCCATGAAGACTCCGCAAATAATGGAACCCAAGCGTCGAACAATCCTTTCTTCAGACGCGCTACGCCTCCAGTCAACTTTGAATCATAGTGATATTATATGTGTTGTATTTCAGTGCGATCTGGTCAATACAACATACCGGCGGGGTCAGTTAATAGGCAGGGCAGCCCCATATCCTTTTACCCAGGTCTAGTCCGAAACGTGATAACTCCGGAATAGTGGAAGGCTCGGTTGGCTTAGACGGCGTATAAGCTGGAAGTCTGTTGGATCTTCACTGGCTCTACGTTGTATCCTCGTTTCAAGCTTCTAGCCTGCGCAAGGGGCACCGACCCAAAACTAGTAATAGCGCAAGTGTCTTGTGGCGCGGCAAAGTTTTTCCGCGCTAATTTGATGTGATATTCGTGTTGTACGGGTTGAAATACCACTGGAGTAGTTTTCTAGCCAAATACCTGATCACGGACAAATTTCGAAGATTTGAATTCAGCTGTTTTTGAGGGTAGATAGTGTCAAGCTTTAAATTTCGCACGCTTTTGAACTTCCAGTGAACTTCCAGAACCTTCTTGGTATCATCTTACTCAATGCCACAAAATGTGAAATTGTTGTAAAATAGGATTAGTAATCAGAGTTGTATTAAAAAGAATGGGAAAAGAGTCGGCCAATAGTAGGCATCGGTCCTGGTCCTACCAAGGTTCAAACCTTTCGATCTATGATTGGTTGATCATTCGTTATCACCCTGTTCCGATTTTTTCCCACGTTAGCTACTCCGTTTGCCAGCTAGAATTAGATACTGCGTAGAATAGTGTGCTCTGGTAATTGGCCGTCGAAATCAGCGCTTTCACCATATGTTCGGTCGTTTATACAATTGGTGGTTAATTGGAAATGAATAGCCCCTCGCTCATTCCACAACACGTCGATGTAATGTAACCCTAGGACATTAAGCCTTACACTGATTGCTCGTCGATTTGCAACACTCGAATTCGCATATGGAAGAGCAGTGGAATTAGGCCCGTGCCTACTAGCGTGTCAACGTGAAATGTGACAATCTTTGAATGAATAGCACCGCAAGACCTTGAACCTTGAATCTCAAGCGACTGGATTACGGTTGTTGCATATTCTGAGATGTCCTTCTACATAGCACTTTCAGTCGAGTTGAACGTCCTTAACAAGTCTCATGCAAAAGTGACTTCTAGGCCTCCAATGAAAACCGAGCCAGGGTCACGTTTGGATGGATGTGGGCTTACATTCAACCCTTCTTCCTCTTTCCACCACCCACCCCTTAAAGTCTATCGACTTGCTTGTCTTTCTTCCCATAACCTATTCGCCTGTCCGTTGTGCTACTGTTTTCTTATAGTTCTGATACGAGCTTTCTTTGTGGGGTTCACTCCGACCAACATTTCCACCTCACATCGTTTTCAAGGGCTTCAGATCGCACCACTGTAGTGTAGTAACGGTACACTCATCACATTAGCAGCGGATCGCCGATGAGTCTGAATTTGTAAATCTGCTGAGCGGGGAGAGGAGTGAAGGGCCAAACACAAAACTGTTGAAATCGCAAAAATTAGGAAAAAATTCAAATGTTGGAGTTCTCTAGAAAAATCATGAAGAAATTGGACATGCCTCAAAAATTTCTTTCCCATTTCTCGTGAGATCACAGAGTCACATTGAACAAATATAGGGGGGGGGGGGGGCAAAAAAAGACATTTTGCCCATGTCGCACTTCGGCCTTTTTTTCTTCGCAGAGATTGCCGTCGTTGACGGAAGTTCCTCAGCAAAATATTCCCTAAATGTCCCTCTATAAGTACACGCAGGCCCTCCTTCACTACCCTCACCGTCTTCAGAATATGACGTCATCTGTCACCGTCGTCGAGCTCAGGGAGGCCTAGTAACTGCTTCAGCCTGAAGCTCTTACATAATTTCTTGGATCGATTCAACGTGGGATAGTTTCCTAGGGACATTAGCTCTAACTATGCAAACCCCCTCGGAACCCGCCCTTCGGAACCCGTCGTAACGGTACACGATCAGTCGAGAACCCCATTGAGCTCGACCAGAGCACCATGTTTCCGGGGCAAACTTTTCTGATGCCGTCCACGTAGATGGCCACTATGAAGATTTCTTATGAAATGAAATGCGCTCTTCAATTCTAAGTTGGAGCACACGCTTTGAGCTGAGCAAAGTGTGATTAAATCCATTTGAGTCTGGAGACAAAATGTCTTTTTTTATTGCCCCTCCCCTGTATGACCCCTCTCATGTGAAACTTTGTCCAGATTCGACAGTTTGTGCCCCTCGCTGAACGCAACCTTGAGAAGATAAGGCTCCGGATAATTCTGAACCGCAGAGTTCAAATACACCCATTCAAACTCACAACGAGCTCCGATCATCATATGTACTATTGAAAACTCTTCACGGATTTGCTTTTGGGGCTACAAGCCAAGGTGGTACAAGAACTTTATTCCGGCTAACGATTTCGGCTTGGTCGCCTTCATCAGAGTCCTGGAAAGTCAAAGAACAGCGCGATCTGCCGCAAACATTATTTCCAACTTCGAAGTGGTCCCTGTCGACAAGCGAATCACCCAAGGGCCCCGTATTGGGAACGTCAGTGGAAGCCGGTCTAGTTCGTCTGGCCAACATCACAGGGATTAGTTAGGCGAGATTGGCATTTTTGCAGAGCCGACTATATTTTTTTTACTTTTATGCGATTTCTTAACTCTCGATTTACTTCCTGGGTCCAGATGGAAGCTCAGTCCATGGAAATCCGATTGAAAAGCGGCTTATATTGCTCATGTCACGTGACATTTTGAGCTCCAATTTCTTAACGTGAGTCAATAGGAGCGTGTCTGAATCAGACTTTCTTGGAAAGGTTTGATAATGCTGCGACAATTGTGAGACGTAGAAGTTGTTTCTTCCACGAGACTCAAGTTGATCTTACATAGGAGTGAGGAAAGCTATTTAACAAATATTGACATGTACATGTGAATGAAACTTGTCCATCTTCACTGAATATTGTAAAATGGATTGTAGCATTGAAAGTTACAACTGGATGTATAAACATAAAAATATAGGCAAAAGTTAGTTATTTTCCATTATAATTACTATTACAATATTTTGATGAAAAAAGGCGAAGATTGTGTAGTAGTGAGTGATACCAGATTTCACGCTTACGACTGGGGGCCAATTCCGTCTGCAGCCGGCCAAGCTCACTGAGCCTTCCATTACTCGGCCAGGACCAACAAACTCGTCTAGGAGGGAAGAAAGCTGACTCTTACATCGGTTGCCCACACATCTTGCATATAAGATTCAAATCACCTCAAACATTAGCACAATTGTGAATGATGGTGGAATCCTAGTATTCCGCAAAGGGCTTGGTCAAGGCCGAAGGCTTCTTCCCTTGTTTTTGTCAACTTACGCTCGTTACCAAAGACATAGTAAAGATGGGCATTTTCAAAAATGCTTTCGCTAAAAAAATTCTTCACTCTCGAATCACCTTATTTAGCACAAGAAATCTCCTATTTTTTCCCTCGATCAAAGGCGATGACGGGGTGAATTTCATGACAATCCAATTTCTCCTTTTTTTTCTTGATCAATCAGGCACTGAAGGACTAACACTGAAGAGCATTTTCAACTTAAACTTCAGATTCATTGTCTCTTCAAAAGGATTCAAGCCCCCAGAGAAAAAATGGGTCCTCAATTACTCATTCTGGGGATATATCCTCCCAAAGGGTTAGAGCATGAGGCCGTAACTCTCAACCCATCCGCAACATTTGAGCGGCGATAAAATCGCAATCGCCGTCAGAGTTATGCGTTTTTGATGTTCCACACTGTTTCAATCACTATAAAGAGCGCCGGCAGTATTTGTATGAGGACGGGGGAAAGTGAGTAAAGAAAATGTGGAAAACGGCGACAAGGCGCTCACAAAGCACACTCTCGTTAGAACACAATTTATCATAAAACTATCGATCGATTGGGATAAATTCAACACATTCCACTACCTATCCCGGCACTGCTAAACATAACATGTGTAAGAGATCGTCGAAAATATACATTAATGACATGCGAGGCTTGTCAATAACAATTACTACATACCCGCAACGAACTGTAATTTTCAGAATGAGGAACAAACAGGAGCATGAGGAGCAAATCGTAAGGGCATCATAAAGCAAGACACGTGAATTGTTGTCGTATAAATAGCGCTGGAGAAGATAAGACTATGAGCGTTGAAGACTTGAGCTATTTATTGAACTACAAAAGTAACCGAGTAAAAGAGTAATAATAAGGTTTGTAGAAAGTTTGTTATCTTGAACAAGAGCACAGAAATCATCAATAGTGCTGCCACCGAGCGGGAAAAACACCGGAAAGACATCATCACAATGGTGATCTACGATAGGAAAGGTAATCGTTGGGGCAAAAAAACTGGTGAAGTGTTAATGGTGTAGAAATGAAATGGAATCAAAGGTGTACCAACTTGTGGAATTGACGTCACCGACAATAATGGCGTCCCGAATGGAATCTGAATAAAGCAGAAGAATTAGCTACGAGAAAACGCTAATGCCTGTACATAATGAGTCCCATGAGCGGAATCCGGAAATCGGAACGCATGGTCGGCAATTCGAAAATGGCTTATGGAAAAGCTCCTATGGAAGCGGTGCTTGGGAAGGGAATCATTCTGGGCAGGCCGAGAAAGCCTGGTATCTAAAAGATAAGAGGAATCCCGTAAATTTTTATCGTGTTAGGAACATTGAAGTGAACAGCTCGATCGTCTAAGAGTCGAAAACATATCCTAACACTCTGATGCTGAATTACAAAACTAAATACAAACTACCAGTAACTGATGCATCGCTTACCATGAAATTTTATGGAATTTCTCCAGCCGTGGTGACTTGAGATCTGTTTTTGACTATATGTAGGAGTAAAAAGTAAGCCTAAAGACTGCGATTCTGATGAATTTGAGATAATTGGTGAAAATTAATGTCTCTTCCGAGGTTTCCCGTAGATTCCTTTTCAGACTCACTGTTGACTTATCAAACCTTTCTAGCATCGCAGATGGAATGGCATATTCTTCTCTCTACAAGATTAGATAGCGCCGAAGTAGCTACCGTGCTGATTCCTTACAAATCACAAGGCAGGTTAAACGTAGCGAATTTGGGAATGATCTTACTGGATCTGTTCTCGGAGGGATCAGAAACCCTCCGCTATGGAGGGCACTGCTTTTTCCAGGAGGGACATGAGTCACAAATGCTCATTGACACCTCCTGCCACATGTAAGGGCGGACTTTGGACGAGTTCCCACCACCGCGCAAACGAAACTTGTAAAATGTCGGTTAGCTAGGAAGTCCTTGTGTAGATTCTGGTAATATGACTGGTCATACTGCTCATATTATATAGCACGAAAAAAGTCAACCATGAATTGATAGGGGAAAAAGGGCTGGGTTAACGTACCATATTAGATGGAGGTAATGGCATGGTCGGAGTCGCCATCTTTTCGGATGCGGTGCAGCCTGAAGACGTATTGCTGCCAGTCGGTGACGGCGACGAGTTCGCGTCCATGCCCGGATTGTGCTTTTTCCATTTTGTACGACGATTTTGGAACCATATTTTCACCTGAAAAATTCGGTTAGTCGGGTAAAAAAAAGACCAGGTAATCTCATAGAGCTTATTTACCGAGTTTTACTAGTGCCTCACCTGAGTTTCAGTGAGATGTAATTGTATAGCCAAGTTCAGCCGTTCACAAACGCTCAAATAGCGTGAAGTCTGTAAAGGAACAAATTCGGTGGGAGAGCAAAATAAACCACAATGTTCAGAATCACCTTGAACTTGTTTTCTAACGCTACAAGTTGCTCATAAGTAAATGCTGTTCGAGCACGTCTTGTCTTATTCTGGTTGGTACTTGATGGTACTGTAGATCTTCCTGAACTGACGTAATTAGTTCTGGAACTACCGCGATCACTTTAACCCAGTACTTGTTTTCTGGTCGTTTATTTGTTCTCGCGAAACAGTAAATGGTTTCCTGTACAGCTAAGAAACTTTTCATAACTAAATTGTAGTCGTAACTTACCTCCAGCGTCCTGTACAACGTCCTGTTTATTATCGTCCGACAATAACTCATCCACACGAAAACCGCGCTTATCGCTCATGTCCTAAGCGAAGTATGAAAGCAAATGAGTGGCAAAACCTCTACAGTAACCGATGAAATCCGATGATAAGAAAGTGTTTTTCTAAGAATTCTGTCGGTTATCTCTTCTGCGAAATTACCAGACAAGAGCATCAATCAGCTGAGAGTAATGAGAAACAGCACTGGCCTCAGGTCAAAGATTCGAAACTGAGGCTAGAGATTGAGGCTTCGAATGAAATGTTGTGGAGCAGTCTGAGGCCATCTCCGTTGAGGACTACCTAATTGTGAAGACAATGAAAGTCACTCGGCGTCACTGAACCCTCAGGGGCTCTGGATGGGGCCTACAAGCGCCCACCACCCTCAAGCAGGTTTGAAGTGTGAATGACAGAGTAATTTGTGATGCCTGTGGTGGCATCATTGTTTGTGGAGTTTGACAGCAAAAGCGGCCGCCGGCGCTTCGTCCGACGACGGTGGGCGGACGGCCGAAGGATGAGGTCGTGATTGGTTGGGGCGGCACATAACGGCGATGATGAGGGTTTTAACGATGAGCATCACACATACTATCACCACCCAAGAACAGCCCGCTTCACCCCTCGTCCATCAATGTCGTCGATAATTGATCACCTCAATTATTCTTTCAATGCCCTTGTAAATACCGTAATTCTTCGTCGAAAACTAACCAAGGTAATCAATATTTATTAAATGTACAATCTTCTATCCAATATGTATTTTCATCAGAAGAGTTCGCTCATGAAAACGTCCTGCTTGAAGATATTGAACATTCGTGACAGTTGACTGTCTTCTTTCCGGCGTTCTTGCAACTTCTAAAGAAAAGCGGTATGATCAAGTGAAAGGCGAAATTCACTAGGGTCAATTCAGGGTAAGGTTACCCACTGGGTAAGCTAAATGACCCCAGGGTCCAGTACTTAACAAATGACCTACGTCTACTGCCGACACGATACTGCTCATTTTGTGAAGACGTGAAGCGTAGTTTGGTTTACGTAATTCGTATGTGTAATAACTGTGCACATCTTCCGCTAGTCGACATTTCACCTGCTCAGCGACATCGATCGTTTCTTTTGTAACATTTGGTATATCTAAAAAAATACTGTTCCTTTGAGCTTTTTTTGAATTTTTCTTGAGAATTGCCAAAAAACTGAAATTTTCGCAAAAACCAGTGAATCAATCTCTTTCGTCGCATGCGATATATATATATAAGTATATATATAAGTTAGTTTTTTTGAGTACCTATGAATTTTTCTCGAAATTTGGGAAATCGAAATTTTCACAAACGCAACGAAAAAGGATAACTTGAGGAAAACGCGGTCTGACACACAAAATAGTTGAAATTTGCATTCGTTGAAATGAAATGGTCACTGGTGAGCCACATTCAAGGAATTCTCAATAGTGGGTCGTTTGGCTACCTGAGGGAGGACGGAGGGGTCATTTTGAATGGAAATGGCAGTGTAAATTTGAAGGGTAGAATTCAGGATGTAGGGATTCCTAAAAGGCTCTAGAAATTTCAAGAAATTTTAATGAGGTTGCGTGAAATTCCGACAATTCCAGGGAAGCTTTCAGACTTGGTCTCGTATTGCCTGTAGTTTGTTGTTCTCATTGTGCATATCCCACTTCACCCACCCCCTTCCTCCTCCCACTCACACGGACATTTTTTGGGTAAAGCTATAAAATCGGGAATAGTTTCAGGCAAGACAGAGAGCGGGAGAATGGAATCTTGGGATAGACGTTAGTCGTGGGACTCCAGCTCGGGGACGGAGAGGGTAAGTGTTCGCATTAACCAGAATTCTTAGACGCGTGGCTCACCCTGCTTCAAAGGCATTCTGTTAGGAGTGTTGACACACTTCATCCTACATCTATAGATTCAATTCGATTACTATAAATGCCCTCGCGAAATCTAGCGTTTGAAACAGGAGGGAATTGTGACAATTCTCTCTTCTAGAACCAGCGTGTGGCCAAAAAATTGCTACGTCTATGTAGATGCGAGCCCAGCAGTCGCGAGGCAGTCTTTGGGTGGAGAACGTTTACGTTGACAAGTTCTCTACTGGTTGAAGAACTGAAGTAAGGTAACGCTTCAAAGCGAACAGTTCTCGCGGTTATTGGGAGGATTTGTGAATTGTCGAAATTTTTCCTCCGCAATCAGAGCGATTTCTAGTTTCCTCAAGTAAACTCGTATTCGAGCTTTTTCAGAGGGGGGTCATATGAAGGCTTGGTGAGTGTCAAAATGGTAAAAAAGGAGGGACGTGTTGGGGACTGAGGAGACTTCCTATGACAAACAGTTGTGGTGAGGGGCCGTATCGGAGCCTCTCCCACCCCCCTAAAGGGCGGAAGTGGAGTTTTCGGAAATTTGAACAGTAGACGGTTGCCCCTGCTACAGACCAACACTGGCCCTGTAAATTTCAAGAATGGCAGTTCCAGACAATGAGCTTTAAAAATAACATTTTCACTGATGTGTCAACTGCTTTGGATCTTCAGTGCTTCCAACTGAACGTTCGTAGAAGATTCGGCACTATTTACCCTTTACTGCCCCACTCCTCAAGAACTGAGCCGGATTTTGATCGAAATTCGTCCATGACTGTGGATTTTGCTAGAAACTTGTTTTCAGGGGTAATTTGACCCGTAGAACACGAATATCACACCGGTTTAGCGCGACAACGCTTGGCGCCCGCGCCACAGGCGCCGGCGCTATCACAACAGTTTTGCGCGCCCGTAGCGCAGGCTACAGGCTCACTCGCAACGAACTAATGTGATATTCATGTTCTACGGGTCAAAGTACCTCTGAAGGACAAGTTTCCAGCGAATTTGGTGATCCTGGCGCCTTTTGGCGCCGGCGCTTCTGGCGCGAGCGCCAGGCGTTCTAGCGGTAAACAATGTGATATTCGTGTTCTACGGGTCGAATTACCCCTGAAGGCAAGTTTCTAGCCAAATCCACAGTCATGGACGATAAAAATCGGCTCATAGTCAGTTCTCGAGGAGTGGGGCAGTAAAGGGTAAATAGTGCCGAAGATTTAATGCTTTTCATACGCCGCTGAAGCTTTTATGAAGAAGTTTTGGAACCAACTTATGTTTTATCCAGATCGCCTTCACCAAAAACCATAATATAGCTTAATATCAGAGGGTTGTCCTGCCAACTGACTCTCATTGGCAAATCATCTGCACAAGAAAAGCTTTCAAGCCAATGCCGAGGTGAGGTTCTATGAAGATGGAATTTTGTGAAAGTTTACTTCTAGCAGTGACAGAATAATGTAACGTTTCTGTGCGCCACAGCCCTTATCAGAATATTCCTAAGCAAAGCGTTTTCGTTGTTTCCCAACTTTGCCGCTCAGCGACCACTTCCAATCGCTATAGAAAATTGTAAGGTTGTAGAGAATAATGGGTTACGAAAACAAAAAATTTTCCTCCCCGCAGATACGTTTTTCAATCATGATGTACCTTTATTTCACAATTACATCTTCTTTTCTTTATATCTCAAGACTCACTGAATTTTTCAGCTCAATATGTACTTCCATCCCATTTACTACTAACGCGGAGTCCTTCTGCCAGCCGTTTTTCGCAGTAATAAAATCTGATTTCATCCACTAACTGCGCACCAGTTATCATATCATACCTATTTATTACTTAATTTATGTCGCCCTTATCGTGATTTACACAGCCGAACACCTGCAGTGATGGGCTTCTTCAAGAGTTCCGAAATAGGGCAAACAACCAACTAGTCAGCCCTAAACTAGAGAAAAATTGATGTGTGACTTACTTTTCACATTGAACATACAGCTAATAACCATGTACAAGAGTTCGAATTCATTCGGCATCAATCGCTTGAATGGGTGTGTAACCAGCTCTCGAAAAAGGTCATGTGAAGGCTTCAGTAACCTAAACATTAAACATTAATTGGAATATTTATCTAATTGAATTGATATAAGTCGTCAGAACCGAAAAATCATGGGAAACGGCTCAGAACCCGAGAAATGGGACTCCTCCGCCCGTCATTTCCGCACTGGAGTGACCTGCATTCTTCAACGCTAACGCTCTCTCTGATAAACGGCTAGAGACCTGCGGTAGTCAGTCGGTGGGCGTTTTGCGTCGATAGCGCCGCGGACGCGGTTAGCTAGACCTCTAGGGGCATATCCTTCACTGCGAAATGAGTATTGTTTCGCACCTTTAGAGGGTCTGCCTGTCTTTTCAGCAGATAAGCTCCACCTTCAACATTCGACTTGGCCGTGAAATCTTCCTTCAAGTGAGAATAGCACGATTTTCGCTTAACAATGGACCCACTTATAAAATCCCAACTGCAAAGGTCAGATAGAGGGTAACGCATTCAAATCTTATCTTTCGGAAATGTAGCACGCATCCCTCTCCCATTCAGAGTAGTAGTGGCATTTGAATGCAATTTTGCGTAATCAACGCCTTGTAGGGAGCAGTCAATGTCCAAGTCAGTATCCCCCAGACAGTATGAGACCAACAATCTATCCGAAGGGATAGAGGGTTTGGTTGGCCTCTGCGAGGTTCGGATCGTAATTTTGCCCTTTGGACGTGTGTGCGGTGCAACTGGTACCACTTGCCGGCCATAGTATTATAGCTCCACTCGAGACAGATAGCATACAAATTTATTTTTACAGTTGTTGGAAATAGTTCACGGCTATACGTATATATGCTATATCAAGGTTCGTCAATATAGGCCCTGGAGAAAATGAAACGTACTGACCTCTTTACTTGCTCCTCGTTGAGATCGGATACAGTATCAAGCCGTAGGACATTTCCTCGAGGATTCATAATCGTCCCGTCCGTGCACACCGTTCGCTCATCATTGATATCGTAGCCAAGAACCTTACATGTCCGAAAACAGCGATCCAGTTCAAAGAAACCCGGCCAGAAATTTCGGAATAGAAGCCACTGAAATCAGTGCTGTGCAGAAGTTCACAGTTCAAACACTAGACTAACCTGCTTCTTTCAAATAAAAGCCTATGTTATTAAGTTGCCCCCTATTTCACCTAGCATGCGTTCTATCGACTAAACATCAGGCGTCAGGACATTCTGAACGTACTTAAAGGACGAATTCACGATTAGAATGAAGGTCGAAGAAGGAGTAATCACCTAGTTGAGGGACCCGCGGACCTCCTGAGGGTGCGAACTGAAGCGCAATTGGCACCGAAAAGTTTGACCTCGGCGACCTATCATGGCTCAATCTTGGCGCGGTGGGCGTGCACGCCCACCGATCATCTGATCACTCGCCGCAGGTCTATACGTGGCGAGTGATTAGATAGCTGAGAGAGCGTAGTGTTGAAGAGGGCACAGCGATGAGAGTCGCATCAATGCTCAAATCAACGGGCAAGGAAGGGGTCCCATTTCTCGGGTTCTGGGCCGTTTCTCATGGTTCTTCCTTCTTTCGTGTACCACTCACCATCCCTAGGTAATTTGAAATGGGTTGCTTTTTCATCGTGAATTCGTCCTTTACGAAATTTATTCCCCTCATAAAGCTCTGCTTCCTTTTGCTCCCACAACAGAGCCAGGCTCGTCCAGTAGAGTTAGGCCTAGGCCCTTGATTTCGACGGTGATCCTTTATGAATGTCATTTATCATTCGCTAAGGGAAAATAGGGTGGGAGTGGACACCAAGACACAAAGGTGAGCTGAGGGCTCGAATTGTGGTGTCATGCCAGCTTTGGAATTTTGGGGAAACTTCAATTCGGGGGGGGGGGGGGGAACGCAATTGTTCCTCCAATATTCAAGATAATGTGGAAGGAACCCTCTGATGCTCTTCACATTTCCGCCTGCCATGGTCCAAGGGAACGGTCCTGGACCAGGAGAATGGACACCTCTGCAAGGGCTAAGGGTGCAGGAGCTCCAGGGTGGATCACCTGTGCAGAAAAGTGGATGGGATGTGGGCAGGTGTGTGGAATGTAGGACATCCACCGGTCCTTATCAAAAGTACGCTCGAAATGAGTCGTTCACTTATTATCTTATCCGTAGTGTTCGATAGCCCAAAGAACTGCTCTCTAGTACTACGGATAAGATAGCAATGGAGTGGCCCCCCCGAACTGGAGTTTCACCGGGATTTTTATGCGATTTTACTCAATAAGTAGCTCAATTTTTTGATATCCATTCAGGAACCAATTCTCAGCCCCTCAAATAGTGAAGGGCACACAGAGTTGAAGCAGGATAGAGAATACCTTTTGGTCTTTTGGAAGCTGGGCGAAAGGCTGTAGAGCCATTGCGAATTGAGCAAAATACTCGATTTCGGCGTAGGTGTCCCGCAAAAGGTGCTCGACATCGATCACATTGACTTCATTTGTCTATAAATCATATAGAAGTATACATGACTATCTAGAATTTTATTAGTCATTAAAATGAAAGCCCTAATGATCACCAAGTTTTCCTTCGTTGGAACTTATTCAGGACTTATTTTTTGAGTGTGTGTCCAAACGAGTTTGTTGGAATTACAGTTGATTGAACGGCCCTAGGTTTCTACCTTGTTGCCTTGTGCAGAGCCCTTGCCTGTTCAACCAAGGGCCTCCCAAGCGCCTCATTCCCTTTGGACGTACGACATCATGTCGAGACAACTGCCAGAGAAGCCAGTGCTCAGTACTTACAGGCTATACTCGCTACAACTGTACCAGTTGCGGTGCGGAAGTTAGCTCGTATCGTAGCAGACAAAAATGTCATCACATAGGTCGCCTTTGCGACAGCTCGCCTTATGACCCAAAAGGACTACTTCAGCAAAATCAAGTGTCAATCCGTCACAAGATACGGTGGAGAGGCTGTGCATGATTCCAGTTGCGCCATGGATTGGCAAACGCCTGGCAAGGAGAGATCAGAAAAGGCCTTCGACGAACGCGATATTGTGAAGCGCAACAGGGTTGACCATGTTGTGAAGCCGCGTCAAGTATGGCCTCTGCCCAATTTCATATATGCCCCCCATCGCACTCCCTCTACTCGTTGGATAAGGACATAGGGACGATACGTCGTTCGGTCTTTTCAACCTCATACATTTCAAGTTCTTACTATCAAGAAATTTCGACCTTAACTATAGAGATTTTTCAGTATTACATTTTAGAAGTTTTCTATTTTCCTGAAAAATTCCTTTCCCCTTTCCTTCCTAAAATAATCCCCAAACACAACCCTCTTAAGCCACTGAAGACGTCCTCGCTGTTTGAGTCGGCCGCACAAACTGGTAGTCTTCATGAGAAGACGCGTATCTTGGCATTGAAGAAGAAATATACACCCAAGAAATTATTAGAAATATTCTGCATTTTTCTCACAGGAAACCCAAAACTGAACAGCCGAAATTAGTGTTCGGCCATTACAAATGACCTTCTGCCTTTTATGACACAATGCGAGCTGTCACAAAGGCGACGCGAATGGCGCTATTTGTGACTTATACGGCAAAATGAGACTCGAGTGCGACTCATTCTCTGCCCTTTGCTAGCGGAACTGACACAGGACGTAAGCTAACGCTCCGCGCTACCAGTAGAATCCGTCATGTGCAGGGCGAAACATATGTCAGGGAAATTTGGCAATCAATTGATCTCCCGTCCTTCGCTCTTTCAATCCCGTGTATGGGATTCACGGACCACATTGGTCCTACTTGGAAATTCACCACCCCCAGTTCAACCCGAAACTGCTCATGATTAACACATGACCCTTCCGCAGAAAAAATATTCCTCGAAAAGCAAAACATCTAAATGATTCTAAAAAAATCAATGTCACCCTCAAAAATCCCTCGACCATGGATGAATCCTGCTCTTGCCTTTTTTGAGATACACTTCCGCTTCCGCGACTCCCTTCTCCAGGATAAAGTATCAAGTACCCTAGTGCGATCTACTGGGTTTATTTCGCGAATGCTCCCGACCAACTTTGGTCGCTCCGGAGAGAAGAAGCCTGGTGAGTCGAAGACTTCGAGCTATGTATCTTCGAGCTTCAGTTTTTAGAAGAAGGAAAGTCACAACACCCATTCTGAACTCCCTTTCCTATTCTGAACTATGAATTTTATATTTTCATTGCTGGAAGAAAACAAGCAAATTTACCATACTTAATGGCGGTGGATTTGTATAAATCCACAAAAAATTGGGCGCTATCGCAAGACACGGGTGCGTGGTGACACGGAAAACACGCGGAGAACATCTCCTTTTCATCAGAAACAGAAATAAGACAGATGTGGGGGAGGAGAAGTTCCTGGGTGCGCGAGCAATTTTCGTTTCCTCGGAGTTCTTGCCCCTTCTAGGCTTGTTCTCAGAGGATGCCTACGTATTTTACGATAGCGCCAAAATTCGCGAATTCATTCAGTATCTTCCTTTTCCTTCAACGATTTACTCAACATTCTTACAGAGTGAAACTCCGGCCAATGTCGTGAATAATTCGCGTATGCGATCATCGCCTGCTGACATACGGATAGAGGTATCGTGTACGGGAACGCGTTGAGACTAACGTCCTGAAAGGAATGATATGAGTGACGTCACTCTTCGTTGAATAAGTTCAGAAATAATTTTCTTTTCTGTAGGAAAAGTAATGAAGCATGGCTTGCAGGTGTTGGTTTGGTTCATTGAGGCATGTTTTTCAATGAACATAAGAAATTCTAAAAGTCATTCGAAGATAAGAAACTAAATCGAGCAGCCAAATTCGCACTAACAAATTAATACACTATGAAAGCAGAAGGGATCTGACTGATGACGGGGCACAAAATGATTCTAATGACGAAATAAGTTTAGGGCGAAGGACGGCAGGGTGAAGTAGTGAGTTTACCTATTCCATTTAATAACCATTTTAACAGCTTCTTACGTTTGCATCGGTGGAAAAGTTTAAGAAATCGAATGCCATTGTAATTGGAGGTGTGACGACGCGACGATGGTACAGGACTCATCCTAGATCCCTCCTCTCTACTCAGACCGGGTCCTATCGTGTTACTTTTTCAAAAATTTTTACGACCCCCTCCCCAATGGTTGACTTGATACGACCCCTTTTCCGACACCGCGGACCACCTCGAATCCACCATCATCATATGCTAGTATTTAATTCTGGTACCACGCAACCCACGAAACTCCGCCCACTTTTTCCTCCAAAATTCCCGCCGTCGAATCAGTTTGATACTTACCTCAGGACTAAGCCTTAAAGAGAGGACGGACCTGCGCTCTCTCGCCACTCTTCAAGGCTTAGTCCTGGATAAGCAAACCAGCCCTTTTGGCGGAGCTGCTGGACCTAGCTGCACCACTTCGTCACTCTCCTACGTACCGACCGAGTTGAAGTAGTCCGTCGACCTCGGGGACCCCATCCCCTCCCCAACATTCAGCATACGGCCCCAGCAGAAACGCCAAAAGGGCTGGTTTGCTTACCTCGGGGGTAGGGGGGTATATACGCACACTGAAACGGCAAATTTCTCTTCCATGACCCAGCCTATACGACCCCTCCTGTCAACTCAATCAGGTACGACCCTCGTTGTTACTAGTAACAACGTAGGGTTGACACTGCTCTACATTCCCTGGTTCGCAGGTTCTTCTTAACGCACTGATTTTACCGCTATCCAGGTGAGCGCACACACCAGCGGCACGCATCCCGACTACCCTCCCCCTTGTAGCCACAGTGTACCGAAATCGCTTTTTTGCTGTAATAGGCACATTAGGCACCAGAGCGGGTGCGAGGCAGCGTTTAGCATTGCAACACGGTTAACTAGCCATCATTCTCTGGGAGAAAGGCTTTTAAGCCTGAGCCAGGAGACGGATGGATTTCGGATGAATAAAAGTCTCCGAAATCCCTTTTCCCTAACCTTTGTACCGCCGGTAGTTTCACTTCACTATACTTTTAGTTCACCCAAAATGATTCGCGCATAGTCAGTAGAAGAGTT